GCATACTTGAACCAATTAGTAAGCTATGAAACCGAACCTGATCCATTGCAAGGACACATCGAAGGAGGTTTGTGGAAGTTGGAGAAAAATCTGTGCTGTCCTCACACACGGACAAAGTGACGTCTTGGCAGATAATCGTAACGCACCTAACGTCCACAGATCTCAAGAGGGTGGATGTTGGGGGAGATCTAATTGGAGAATTCACCACGAGGACCGGCGGCTTGGCAGCATCGACCATTTGGCTGAAAGTCATTAACTCCTTGCAAGACACATCCATGAGAATCTCAGGAAAATGGATAGTCACCACAAAATTGCTCTTTTCAGCGTCAGCCATCATCGAAATCTGCGGGTCCACCCCCCTGAGATCTTTTCGAGAGTTGAAGTTGGACTGAAAGGTGTTTGTACTCTGATCCGCAGCATCACTAGAATCGTCGTCATCGTCATCTTCTTGTCTGGCCTTGAACGATGTAATTGCCGGCACAACGGGAAATGCTTCTCTGCCTGGATTGTTCTCTTTCCCGTTTGGAACAACTTTCGCGACAGTCAACGATATGGGAATGAAAGGGTTGACTTCCAATCGACCGCTGGCAGCCAATATGTTCTTCCTCAGCATTTTGGACTGAAACGAAACTGTATCTCCCTCTGGACACGAGGCAAAAACAAAAATTTGGTGACACGCGAATTCTCCAGAAAAGATCGACTGCCCAGGCTCCAAACCTTGGTCAGATTGCGACATGACTTCAAATGAAGTGTTATCGAAACAGATCCCGATGGAACTCTCTGCAATAATCGCATTTGGAATTATTTCCCTTGATCGCAGAAATATGGGTTCAGTCGATACTTTCTTCAAGAGTGGGATTGAGATGGTGAGAGATGGGCATGTACAAGACATTTCCACGGCTCGACGATTATGACGATCCTTCGGTAAACTTGAGGTTTTTGGTACAGTTGATATCAATGGCTCTAAGCAGCTGTCTTGGAGCAGTGACTTCAGTTGTAGTAGATTGGAAACGGTGCGACTGCGAAAACAAAGCTCCAAACACAATAGGGTGATATTACAAGTCTCTGTATCCTTCGTTCTCGTCCAGTTCAGATCAATACAGGGGGCGTTGGACAATAAAACATTATCACCGTAGCTATCATCTGAGTTTGTGCTTTCGGGACCGAAACCAAGCACTTTTCCTATTTCTAAAGGGCTGTCGAGAACAGCGGAATTTTCTCGCAAAACATTCCCCTCACCTGGTATCCCTTTGGTGGTGAACTGAGCATCTTCTATATCAAAGTGGAGCACGCTCATGGTGACTTCTGACAATCGATACGATGAAGATAAGGATACACTGATATCTTCCAACGTCCAAAGGATGTATTCTTGTGGCCTCGATGGTCGATACGGTTGACCGGAAGGCAGGAACAAAACTTTAAGACATCCGCTCAGCAAATGGAACCGCAACTTGGTGCTGATATGCTCACGGGCTTCCTCCTCGTAGATCTCGGAATCTTCTGGTGGTTGGCGCATACTCCTTGTCAAAACAGATGTAGCATTGTAAAAACTTTGATCATTGGCATCAAAGAACACATCGAACGTTGTTGAGTCCTCGTGATCTTCTTCTAATTGGTATGCGTCGTCTAGAAAGGCATTGCTTGGCACTAAGATACCACCTCGAAGCTGATTGTGTTCTGCCAAGTGATAGGCTTCACGATATTGTCGCATTATGCCAGTCAAAGCTTTTAAATCATCTCGATCCGTCTCTGCTTCAAAAGTGTTGTCCAGAATATGAAGGTTCTTTCGCAGTGAACTTTCTGCCGCAATTGTAGCGCTATCCACAGATTGGACGTCGTTATTGGCCTCAGAAATATCCCTGAATCCTTGTATCAAGGTTTGTAATCGGCCTAATGATAGTACATCTACTGATATATTCAGTTGTTGGTTAAGCTTGATTTCAATGTCTTGTTGCAGCTGTGGATTGCCATCCTTCCGGATGGGTGACGTCGAATTCTGATGATATTCAATGACTCGATAGAATATCTGTCCATTTCCTTGGACCAGAGCAATGGTGGAAGTTGACGGGAGCTGTGGAGGTCCGTGGGATAACATTGAAGGCCCGGTGACTTCTCCAGTGATGATTGTAACCTCGGAAAATTCCAGCAACTTGTGCACAACCGTTTTATAGGAAGACTCCGTTGCAGAACTTACATTGTTGGAATTGCTGCCGGCAGCAGGACTGCGGACATCCAAGCTCTTATACGACAGGACGGAAACTTTCAACATGAGAAAATGTTCCATGGTCATGCTGTCGTTGTTGTCGTTGTTGTTGTTGTTGGCAGTGTGGCATAGTTTGACATTAACGTTGATTAATTTGAGATTCAACTCCAAAGAAGCCAGGGCTGCATCGATGTAGGAGCCAATCACACTTTTGGTGGAGGGTTCTTCAATAGCAGTAGCAGTGTTTGTTGGAGAAGATTTATTTTTGTTCATACATTGTTCTGCCTCTGATTTGGGAGTTTTCCGCCGTCCTCGATCAATAGGTTCCAGCTCCAGGGATATTCCATCAATTGTGACATCGGCAATCAATGAAACAGCCGGTAGAGATTCGTTCATGGTTCCGAGTTTCATCGCTCTCCAAGCCAAACTGGATTGTGTCGTTGTTGTTGCAGAATTGGAACCTGTAGGAGCGGTAGCATCATGACTCGGGTGATTTTCGCGCAGAGTCAAGTGAATTTCCAATCGGTCAATGGACGCTTTCCGGATCGACAGACCTGGAACCTTGTCGGTCAAGCGATCCGTCAAATAATCTGAATCCAACGCCACATCTTTGAACACAAACACACCTTCCTGAAGAGACACGTCCAGCGAATCGTGAAGCTTTTGGGCGGCGGACGAGTCGAGGAAAGGACCTAATACCCGACGGAGCAAAAAGGCATAGAGCCTTTGCTTCCATTGTATCATGGTATAGAAATTAGTATTGTAATAATAATACTATGTGAAAGGAAGGGTGAGTTGGAGAAGACGAGTAGGAAGGTCAAGTTTTGGTGTGGCAAAAAAAAACGAACGAAAAGAATAATTGATCGCGTCCGAACACGCGACGAATTTCATCAAGGCAGTTTTTTGACAGCATCGAATTCTCGACGAACAACGGAACGATTTGATTGAGAGATGAACACATTATTTCGAGATTGTTGCTGGGGTGAATAATTACACACCCCCAAACGAAATTTAAATTGAAAGGGGGAGCATTTTTGGCTTGCGACTCGATGATGGTGAGATTCGTTTCCTTATCTTCCAAGCAACTTTCCAATACCTCCTCTCTATGATAGTAGCTAGCTAATGACGATGATTCCTTCATTATAGCAATACGCAGTACCTAAATAATGATGATGATGTTTCTGCAGAGCGCCTACCTACTACTAGTATGTGATCCCAGTGCTACATAATACTACGCAGTTTATTCACGAAGGCTACGTTTTGCGTCCTCAAAATCATTCTGGATCACAGTATGATGCAATGAGGCAGACCATGATAAAACCAAAGTATACTGCAATAGGTAAAAAAAAAACACAAGCGAGCCAACATAGATCATGGAATCGGTGACGGTCAGTCATTTTCTTGGCAAGGACTGACAACAGATCATTCACAATCCAAAGACGACACGACAGCTCGACTTTTTGGACTCACCGTATCCCAACACTACCGATGTGGTGACAAAACGAAACTGCGAGTCCAACACATCGTCGGAACAATTTTCTGTTTTTGACTGTGGCGCATCGTCAACGCGCAGGGCCAACTCTTCACCACTGGCAAGCCAAAATGCCCAGAATAAAAACAGAATACCGTATGTGGTGATAAGACCGTTGTAGCAGACCAGGTGACGGATCCGGTTGCTAGAGGTCGTTCGGAATTTCGAAAACCGCTTGAAACAACTGTAAGGTGCTTTCATGGTGATTCGAATAGTATCACTGATGTTATTGCTGGTATTCTTGTGGACTGCATCGGGTGTCTTGTCATTTTTCTTTTCTAAACGTGTCTTCGGTTGGATCGCAGAAGAAGAATTATCAACACACGACTCCTGTTTCTCGACCCCATTTGTACCCTTAACTGAGGATTCTTGTGCTTTTTCCGAGTCGTCGTCGTCGTCGACGACGTTCAAATCCAATTCGCTGTTGTTGTTTGCTTTGGCAGACGACTCTTCCGTTGTGCCTTGTTGCGTCCGTGTCCTGGCGGTTGACACGGTTACTCCGAACATAAGATCACTTGCATCATCAACGTTTTCGTCACTTTCATCGTCTCCGGGGTTATACCGCAAGTCAAATTCAACCTTCCGTCGCAACTTGTAGATAGAATAAAAGGCGGCGCCAACATTGACAAAACAAAGTATAGAATTCGTGGCCAGAAATCTTCCGTAATAGCTACACCAATCGGCGGAGGCCATCAGGCCCATGACGAGGGGAGGAATGTTCAATGCGCATGCGACGACTGCCACAAGCGGTTGACATATATATTCGTATTTGGTCATGCCTGTCATGGTCAGTATTTATTGTTGTTGTTGGAAGACAGATGTGACTATATTATGTGGAGATACGTTGTATGATAGCGGATCGGTAGTTATCAATCAATCAATCAATCAATCAATCAATCAATCAATCAATCAATCAATCAATCAATCAATCAATCAATCATATAATATTATTATGATGAGATGGTAGGGGATGAAAGGGATTTTTTGACATAAAACGAGGGTTGTGATCGTCGTCCAAAAAAGAGTGACTGTGTGATGATGAGTTGACGGTGTGATAGGGGAATGGATGAATATGAATGACTGAATCTTCTGGATGTATCCTTACTACTCTACTATGTATCATAGCATGAGGCGGTTGTCTCCAGAGGGGAACGCACAGCATTTTCACAGTCAATTTTTTTCTTCGAATCGAGAATATCGAGAAGCTTGATTCGAATTTTCCATGATTGTCACAATTTAGATACCCTAAAAAATCGAAATCTGCTTGACAACTTGGCCGAGTGGTCTAAGGCGCACGTTTCAGGTACGTGTCTTCAGTGGCGAGGGTTCGAATCCCTCAGTTGTTAAACTTTATTAGGGTTAGGGATAACTCTTCTACCTTATTTGTGCCGTTTTACCAGTACTCAATTATACTGGCACCTATTTTTACTTCTACCCAGCTAGCCAGGTCTACTACCGGTAGCTCTTTACCCTCTTCTAGCTATCATACCGGTAGGTTGTGACAAGTCTTGAAGAAGGGTTAGGGTTGAGACGAGGTTTGCGCCAAAACAGAAAAAAAATGACAACATCCTATGTAAGGATAAAGGATAACTGCGTGACTCACTCGACCACTGAACTGGAGATAGACCTATGATACAAAAAAAAGGGTTCGGCTGTAACCTTAAACCCTATGCTTGATCCCTATGTGACACATCATCTTATTATATTATTTATAATATATATATATATATATATATTATTGTTTTATTACATCATGTACTTTTGATGATCAAATTCGTCCCAACAGTATTGACAAACAGCAACGCCATTGCCTTTTTTGCATTCGGGACATCCCGACCGAGAATATTTGAGAACTTTTTGTTTGCGCAACTCGTCCCGATTCCAATTTGGATATTGAATTCGAGCCTTTGCAACGCAAACAACGCACTCCCGGTGATGAGTCCAATTTGGGATCTTGACTCGTTGGGTACTGTGCCATTCCAATGGAACAATGGTTGGTGGTACTACAATGGCAGCACCAGCAGATTGGAGTGGTTGTACTGGATCTTCCTTCTTTACAATGTACACCAGGATATATCCTTCCGAGGAAACAGCACACTGATTACGACCCACTTGCTTTTTCACCATGCATGTCTTTAATGCAAACTGTGCATATCGGATAGCTTTGGTGGTGTTTTTACAGGTTTCCTGACGGACTCGTTTCTTGAAACGTTCCCGAAGTCCTTCGTAGCAAAAGTCGTCGTAGACAAGTTTTCCATTTGGAAAAAAGATGGACGGATCTGTGGAAGGAGTTCCATCGGCGGGAGGTTCCCTGACATCCTGCTTGTCTTTGATCCAAAATGTATCGCCAACACGTTTTCCATCTCGTGGGCCATGAGTCTTGAGAAGCTCTTCCAAACTACCATCGTTGGATGCATCTTGGACTTTGGTATTTGCCTTGGCGTTACCAATGGTTCTATTTCCCGTATTCTCCATGGACTTTTCATATTCTTCGAGGAATTTTTCTTTCAATTCATTAGAAAGATGATTGTCCACAAAGTTTCGAAAGTTGGCAGACATGAGGCTGGTATATGCACGAAACAAAGATTTCAACTCGTCCACCACCTCCCAAAGCTTCGACTCAAATGGTGCCTGATTGATAATACTACGACCCTGTTCTATGATGGAGAAGTTCTGACGTCGAATCCTCTCTCCATCATCCAATCTGTCTTGGACTTCTCGTCCGAAGGCGGAGACGTACTTCCACCGCAATCGTTTCGCCGTGGGAGCTGTCGGTGTCGATTTGGCCAATGCATTGTACACGAGAGCATTGTTCGTCTCGGGCGTAACAAAGTCACGGTAAAAAGCGGCGGCTTGCCGAAGTCCACCGTGGTATCCCCGAATGATGACATGGAAGGCAAGCATGGCATGGATTGGATTGGAAAAACGGTCCTGAGGAGACAAGACTGGTTCTCCCCGAACCAATCGTCCAACATTGCACAAGGTGGACACAGAAATTCCCCGTTTCCATCGAAGCGAATCGGAAATGACCTCTCGTGAATCACTAGCCACACACACTGGTCTGTGGAGAATTACTGCGTGCATCTGGCTATGGTCTAGATACAACATGATCTCACCATCGAAGAAAGTTTCCATTCGATGGAATTGAAAATCTTCCGTCAAGATATCATGGGCGGACCTACGACAGTTCGGATCATCGTCCAAGATAAGCTTATTGGTATCCATGAACAGGACCCCACAGGACGTCTTCAAAAAGGCGGTCAGAGTTTGGAGGAGAACCGTTCTTCCATCCTTCTTCTGCATGGGGGTGTACTTCGACTTGTCGAAACAATCATTCGTTGTCCGTGGATTGGCCACAGGAGGAAACGGTATTGTGTCTACAAATTGGTCCTTGAATGCATCTCCAAGAATACAACGGGATGTCACAACGTTGCTGGAAAGATACTCGACACCGGACATCCAACTGGAGAGTTCTTGCAGGGGAATGGTTCCACCATTATGAGATTTGGAACGTAAAACCGATAGATGTCGCATCAGTCGATTTGCTTGTGTGCTAGCTGCATTGTACAGCTCATGTACAACTTCAGCATTGTACATGACAAATTCCGAAATTACGTCGAGTCCAAATTCGTACTGGAGCCCGATTTCGATCATTTGTATCCACACAGTCTCCTTCATACCGAGAAGATCGCCACCCCGTTCCATCATGGCCTTGGCCAGGTAGTTCTGAAATGGATCGAGGTGCTGTGCTGTCGCCAAGACGTCCATCATCTCGTGGTACGTTTCATTCATTCGTTGGTCGACTTTTTCGTTGGTGCTACTAAAGTCGACCATAATGAAGAACTGCTTCTCTTCAATGTTGAACTGTTCTTGGTAGAACCGGTACCGCCGTTGGAAGTTTCTGGTGGAACCAATTTTCGTTATCTTCGTTCCGTCGGCGCTCAAGATACAATAGACACCGCTATTGCACGTCGTTGTTCGTTTCTTGAGGTGAGACGCGAACTTTCCGAATGGCGATTCGAAAAAGTTCTCTTCCTTTAGGATCTTGGCGCTTTGTACACAGAACGGCTTGATAATCCTCCTAGCGTTGACTTCTCCCACACATTCGATAGGTCGAAAGTCGGTTCCGTCGGTTTCTTCATCAGTATCGCATTTGTCTTCTGCTTCTTCATCATCTTCTTCTTGGCTTGAGTCTTGCTCGCTAGATGTGGAGGAAGCCTTCTTCACTGTCATGCTGGGAGAGAAGGATGATGACATAGAAGGAGTAGTAGTATCGGAAGATGATGACAATGGTGGATCCTTTCTCTTCTTCTGGGTGGTGACCAGTCTTACAGAAGTAGTCGCAGCAGTAGATCGTGGTGTTGTCACCAATGAGGACGACGACGACGACGACGACGATGCCGATGTAGTAGTAGTAGTAGTTACATCCGTTGTCGCACCTTCTCGATCATCTTGTTGACAGTGAGTGGTAAGAACCGTCTCGTCTTGTGTCTTCTTTGCTGCTGGAGTAAAGAAGGAACGCAAGTCTCGACCTTGATTTGTTGGATGTTGTACCACCTTCTGCTTCTTTGTCTTCCCGTTGCGTGGCATGGATGCTGTCATTGGTACCATTCTTCCTCCGGCCGCATTGGTAATACGATCTTCTTCTTTGTCATTCTTGCTGGACACCTCACTGCTCCTTGCAAAGAAGTCGGTAATGGGTCGAGAGTGGTTAAGCTTGCGACTGGACATGCTCCTGTTGATGATGTATCGTGATGATATTGTTGATGATATTGATGATGATGATGATGATGATGATGATTGAAATGACAACAGCAGATATGGGAGAGAAAAAGAAAAGAAGAGGATCAGTTCTACTGTCGTACTTTCAACGTTGGCACGAAGCAAAAAGAGGTGAGACGAGGTTTGCGCCAAAAGAGAGAAAATAAAATGACAACAGGAATGATTTGTTTCCTATGTAAGGATAAAGGATAACTTCGTGACTCACTCGACCACTAAATGTAAAAGGTGCACCGTTCCGGTCCCCCCAGCCACTCGTCTATGTGGATACAGCAAAAGCCTCTTGGCGTACTGACGATCCCTTCATACAGATCAATTCCTTTAGCACACCGATTGTTTCGCAAGTTTAGCTTGGCAACTGGTCCTATCATATATAGACCTAATGATGAGACGTTCGATTTTGCATCATTCCAAAAATTCAATCAATCATTAGTTGTTGATACTATTGGATCATAGCGCTGGAGCAATCAATCAATCATTACTACTACTACTACGTAGATAACATGGATCAAAATACTTCTGGAAATTTGTTCCGCAACCATTTGAGACCCATCTCAAGCGTTCGTTGTCGCTCTCGAAAGTATTTTGCAACCAAGGCGTCATTTTGGGATTCCGCTTCGGCAACTCCCATCTTGGAATCATATGCGGCCTCCTCTAGTTCGCCAGCAATCAGGGCAAAGACTTCCACTTCATTTCGTTGCGAAATCTTTCCGCTTCCATTGTACCCCTCCAGTTCTTCTGACGTCGCTAGAATCTTTCGCAAAGCGTCCAGACTCATAGTGTTGAACAAGTTGTCAATCGTTCCTTCATTGTCGACAATGAGAATCGCTGGACCCGATCCACTCATGCCTAGCGACCGTACTTTGAATTGCTCAATGTTACAAACATTAGGCTTCTCCGACACGAATCCATAATTGGTGAGTGTCTCCACACTGTCAAAGGCGCCATACGACACAAATACTTCCGCTCCCGGTTGATATTCCCCAGGGGAGGATGCCCCCTTGAAAAAGCCAAATATTTGGTCGGTCCAGTCTCCCGTAGTCATGGTGTTGCCGTTTCCGGTAGACCCAAATATCGACTCTTGAGTAAGTTCCAGCATAAATCGATTACCACCATCAACACGGGCAGATGTTTTGTAGGAGGCGTCGTGATTGAACATATCCAACATGGGTGTGATTGAATACGTTTCGTCGGGAAGAAAGTTGGACCGTGAATCAACACAAGCAAGGGCCCAGGGATCGTTGCATTGGTTGATGCGTTGTTTGTCAATATCCATCCGACCTTCCAGCTGACCACCATCAAATTTTCGAACCAAATCAAGCCGCTTTGGGTCCCAAAAGCGTGGCATATCTTGGAATCCTTCCAACGTCGGAAATAGCGATAACCATGGCGCGTACTTTGAGTCGTCTCCCTTGTCGACTTCGTACTTTAGCTTTTCCACCAACGTGGGCAAGTCTTCTCCGATTATACAAGCGTCTAGAGGCACTTGTACAACTTTAACTAACCCATCGGGTGAGGTCGATTGCCCCATCAATTCTTCTTTGGTCGGAGGTAATCGCATGCTTCG